AGGATGTGTCTACATAAAAAAAAAAAAAAAAAAAACAATCTCAACACATTTTAGTAAAAGGTTAAACTACAACATGAAGGTTCCCAAGTGGCAAAATAGTGAGAAGTCTTACAGCAAGGATATTTATTCAAAATTAAAAGCAAAAAAGACTTTCTTTTAATTTCTTTATGTGTATGTACACACTCTTCCAGAGTTAGGAAACCTCAGAGAACACCTAAAACTGAGGCAATTTACTCTTGAGCATGGTAAACATGTTGTTTTCAATTAGAATGTTTCATATTAAGAGAAATTACAATAAAATACACACTTGGTACTGTAGGGAAACCAGTGTTTTCCATCTGTCAATATGATCAGAAACCTGTATTTGCGTCATTATATGTACCTTAAATGATACAATTTGAAGGTGTTTCAGGCTAAAGTGAAAATGTGTACTTACAAGATTCAGTTTGTTTAAAAGCAAACATTAATAAAGAAACTGTAACTTATCTTGATCGGTTTTATTTTTAAATACAATTAAGAATTAAAATATTCTACAAAACTTTAATATGTTCCTTTATAATTCTGTCCAGAAGGTGGCATCAAAGGTTACTATATAATGTAGTGGTTTGAATAGAACTTTATCATTAGGGGCAAATACAATGTTGTATGAAAAACTGCTCAACAAAAAGAAGCAAGGGATATAACTCAGGATTTCTATGCATAATGCTCCAAATATCAAAATATATATGCACTGTATCAAGATTTACTGTATCCTTCATTAGAAAGAATAAAATTATTTTAGAAAATTAGAAAAAATGTATCCAACCCTAAGACAGAATGATTAGTCCTTATAATTCAGGTTAGCACTCACTTTCAATTCCCCATATGTTAATGCTGTTTGATAACAAAGCAGAGAAAGAGGACGTTACTCACCTTGTGCAGTAATGATGGTTTTTCGAGATGTGTCCCCCTATGGATGCTCCACTCTAGGTGTTCTTGCGTCCCTGCGCTGCTGATCGGAGAACTCTGGTAGCAGTGTCTGTTTGGCCTGCACATGCACTGTCCCCTCTTCATATTCTGCCATGAGCTAACCACAGTTGCACGGGTGAGCCCCCATCAGTTCTTTCTCTACCACAGAGTCTCTGGCAAGAACTCTGAAGTAGAGAGAAGGAGGGTGGGTCATGGAGCACCCATAGCGACACATGTCTCAAAGAACCAGTTACAGCACAAGGTAACTAACTTCCTCCTCCTCTTCAAGTAGTGTCCCTATGGATGCTCCACTGTAAGTGACTCCCAAGCAGTATCCATAATGGGAGGAGGCTGGGGCTTCAGAGTCGAGTCTGCCATGAATGATAATACTGCGGAGCCAAAGATAGTGCTGGAAGCAGAGCCCCCCAGTAATCGCATAGTGTTCTGCAAAGGTATGCAGAGATGCCCAGACTGCTTCCCTGCAGATTTTCGAGATAGGGACATTCTTGAGGAATGTGACAGAGGAGGAAACCAACCTTATGGAGTGCCTGTGGTTCCAGATGGAAGTACTACGTTGTGAACCTATAGCAGTGTTTGATACAGTTCAAGACCCATTTGGAGAGTCTCTGGGCCAATATTGCTGCACCTTTAGCTCTTTCTGCAATGGAAAGGATGAGCTGAGGAGATTTCCTAAAGGTCTTCATCCTGTCCAGGTAAAAGGCTAGGACTCGCCTAATGTCTAGTGTGTGCAGCATAGCCTCCCTGTTATCACAGTAAGGCTTAGGGTAAAAGGTTAGGAGGTGAATCAGTTGGTTTATGTGAAAAGATAAGGTCACCTTGGGGATGAACTTCGGGTGTGGTCGGAGAATAACCTTGTTCCGAAAGAACTGTATTAGGGGAGTGTGCCATCAGTGCTGCTATCTCCCCAATTCTCCTCACCAAAGTGATTGCCACCAGGAATGCTGTCTTCATAGACAGGTATGTGAGCAAACGAGTGGCAATGGGTTCAAAGGGCAGCCTAGTCAGGTGAAGTTTCCTGTCTTCTGGGTGAATCTTGATGCAGGTCTGCAGGTGACTGGAGAGCTGCCTCCATTAGAAGGTGTTTTAGTCTCAGCTCTCTGTCCTTTCGAGACCGCAGCTTCAACTGTTGACAAAAACCATACTTCTGGGGAATATGGCTTTCCCTGAGGCAATGGACACGAGGAATGTCCGTCCATTACATGGATAGCCTGTTTACAGGAGAGGCACCTCTTAAACCCCGGTGAACCAGGCCTACACCCCACACAGGGGTAGTTCCCAGAAAAAGGGGACGTAGTAAATGAAGTTGGGGTTTTTTTGTTTTTGTTTTTAAAGAAAAAAACAAATGAAACTCTAAAGTCACCAAAAAAAGATTAAGTTAGATTAAGTTAGAATAGGGTTAACAATCCGATGAATGGACAGCTAATAACTCTGTCTCTAGCCAGGGGTGGTTGAGAAGGAACTGAGAAGGGTTCTCCCGTGCAAGGCTGGTTAGCCTTGTGTCAGATCACGAGGAGGGGACAACACGTGTGCAGGCCAAATGGACACTGCTACCAAAATTCTCTGATCAGCAGTGCAGGGATGCATGAGCACCTACAGTGGAGCACCCATAGGGACACTACTCGAGGACGCAACAGTTATTTACTGGGAAGTCACTGATTTGTAAAGAACATAAATGTTGACAATTTCTCTCTCTATAGTTCTCCCTTAGCATCAATTTGTGTTCAGATATACAAGATTTTTAAATGGCTGATATTAACTCTTTTTGGTCTGTCTAGGCCACACATTAATAGTTCTGTGGCATAAGTACTGTATTCCAAGCAAGTTGGACACCAGTTTAAAAAAATATAACTCAATGTAGTTTCATATACAATAGCTTTACAGTCTTCCGGCCAATTTTTGTGGCTTTACAATCACTTTTGTCTATTATTGCAAGGACAGGAAGATCCTCTCTAATGGATCTGCAGTTTTTTCTATTTTCCTGGGATCAAACTGGAGAGAAAAAAGGGTGGTGGTATTCTTCCATGCTCTTCCAAGAAAGTAAGTTCCAGCCACATGAGCCGCCAAAATGAGAAATCACCACAGTAGACTTGGCAGATATTCAAAATATGTGCATCACATGACATTCCTAGAATTCTTGAGCTTGCGTCCTCTGGGTGGGGCTTGAATATGCCCATGGACATTCACAGGCTTCTTGGGTGTGGGTCCTTCTTGACTGAGGAAGAAATGTGATAGCATCTCTAAAATGCCACCCACCTGAGTTACCCTCATGAGACATCTCACACAGTACATTGTGCAAGGTCTGTGATCCTCCCTCTCTTTTCTTACATGAAGCATGAAATAGCTATCAGTGCTGCCATTAAAGTTATCACCACTAGGCAGCTGAATTAACACCTCCCTGAAATGAATGAGGCACTTCACACCTCCCAGAGCTGCTATTCTGGGCTCTCTGCAAACTAAAGGCCATGTCTACACTAGCACTTATGTTGGCAAAACTTTTGTTGCTCAAAGGTGTGAAAAAAAACACACACCCCCCGATTGACATAAGTTTTGCCAGCACAAGTGCTCATGTGCACAGCGCTATGTCGGCGGAAGAGCTACCGCTGCTCATCGAGCTAATTTTATTACGCCAACAGGAGAGCTCTCTCCCCTTGGCATAACACAGCTACACAAGCGCTCTTGCAGCAGCACAGCTGTATCAGTACAGCTCTGGGGCTGTAAGCTTGTAAGTGTAGACATGGCCTCAGTCTTTGCATCAGTAATTCCTGGTTCATGTTTTTGAGGTTTTCTTTGCAACCACATACTTTAGCTAGAAACATACTTTAAAATAATTAAATAACTAAACCTTTAAAGTTAAGATTCTGTTGAAAAAGAGAGGTGTTGGGCATTCTGCACTGCCACAGTGTCCAAGCTTTGCCCTGGGCAGAAGAAAATGTATTTCCCTCCCATTCCTGTGTGAAAGACCCAAACAAAACCAGGAGAAATTGACAATACACAAGAGGCTGTCAAAGGCACTAAGTAAACATACCGGGAAAAAAGCCAACAATTTTTGCTCTAATCTTTTCCAGTTATAATAATCTTAGGACTTACTTGTAAAAACAGTAGATAAAAAAATTAAGTTCACGGTGTTCCTTTAGCTTCTGTCTCTGTTTTCCCATCTATAAAATGGGTATACTACTTGACAGATTAGATTGTAAGGGTTACTGTTTGTACAGCATTTTGAAGATGAAAGGGCCAAAGTCTATTCACGTATGCATTCCTGCAACTCTCAAAGAAGTCAGTGGGTGATGTGCATGTTGATTTGAAGACAAAATTTGGCATTAAGTATTATTCCCGTCTTCTACTTACATTAATTAAGTTCTGTGTTAAATGGATTCTAAATGTGAATGACAAAATGTTAACTGTCACTAAAAACTATTTAATAAGAACAGCACATTAAGGTGTATTTCAGATTTACATAGACTATTAAAGAAAACATGAACACAGTTTTCATTCATGTCAAAGTACTCAAATGTTAAGAAATATTTGAATCTGATAAATATGGATACACAAATATTCAGTACTGGAGAGAAGACAGACTTTGGTGAAAAAGTGATTTATGTCACTACTGTACATGCTAGAGAGAGAGATCGAGATCTTGCCCTTATGGATATAAGATTTATCCAGTTCTTTTTGAATTTTGCAGTTCACAGGCACTGTATGTATAGCAGTTTCCTAAATGGGAAGTGGTTTCTTCTCCCTCTAGAATTACCATGATCATTACTATCCACAGGCATTTTACCTATATGAAACATGACATATGTTTTGATTCTGAAAACTGCTCACTCAAATGTGATGCTAATATCAAAAGGTATGGAGAATTATGAATAACTGTTCAATTCAAATTTTAAATCCCTTTGTCTCTTTCCTTTAACAGGAATGCAATGAAATTTACAACTGAATTTAATCAGAAATGGAGAACAATAAAAGACTAAATAAAATAGAGAAGAAAGCACTTGATGAGAAGAGGCATTTCAGTTAGAAAAAACGAATACCTGCAATGAACAACAACAGGTTCTTCTCTGCCAGCCCTCTTTTTTCGTACAAGACACACAAAATCTAGGAAGTCACTGGAATCATCAGGAACCCCATGATCAGGCCATGCTACATACTGGATCTGGGTGAGCTGACGGGTATCATTTTTCTAATCAGGAATACAAAATTTGTTCAAATGTAATTCAGACTTCATAATAAAAAACAGCGATAATCAACTATACTCAGATAATTACTTCTCATCTGGATATCTCAAAGCACTTTATGAATATTAATTATTTGCCAACACATATTTTAGAATCCTATTTTTCCTTATACACAATAATAAAAGGCACAAATATGTCTTTATAAGCCATTTAAAGAGTACATCTCTAGAACAGGTAAGCTATTACTTTCGCTTTTCTGCTAAAGTGTGTTTTACTGTTACCTAATCTTTTCCATCCACTCTGTCTGTCGGTGGAGCTCTCTGGGGCAGAAACAGTCTTGCTTTGTTATATATAGTGCCTAGACAATCGGACCTTGATCCTGACTACTGTTCCTAGGCACTACCATAATATAAACATAATGCATTAGAAATGGGCTCGAATACATTTCTAAAATTCACTACCAAAGTGCACTGTAAAATAAGCAACAATGTGCAATTTGGACAGAAATACCATATACCAATTCAACAAAGAAGCAAGGAAATATGACTGATAATGCATAAGAAAGAGAAGATCACTATTTTAAAGTGTAGGTATACTCTGAAAAGCAATTTTCTAAAAACAGTACTATGAGTTCCATGTTTGCTGCACCTAAATGACAGATCACATTGTCTCAGCTTTAAAGTGAAAATATTTTTTCCATCTAATGCCCAATACCAAACACAGTCAGATATCTTAAAATCAAGCTATGCTTTTTCTGCCTCACACATCATTAGCAATACATAAGAACATAAAAGTGGCTATACTGGGTCAGACCAAAGATCCATCTAGCTCAGTGTCCTGTCTTCCAACAGCGGCCAATGCCAGGTGCCGCAGAGGGAATGAACAGAACAGGTAATCATCAAGTGATCCATCCCCTGTCGTCCATTCCCAGCTTCTGGCAAACAGAGGCTAGGGACACCATCCCTCCCCATCCTGGCTAATAGCCATGGATGGACCTATCCTCCATGAATTTATCTAGTTCTTTTTTGAACCCTGTTATAGTCTTGGCCTTCACAACATCCTCTGGCAAAGAGTTCCACCGACTGACTGTGCATTGTGTGAAAAAATACTGCCTTTTGTTTGTTTTAAACCTGCTGCCTATTAATTTCATTTGGTGACCCCCAGTTCTTGTGTTATGAGGAATAAATAACACTTCCTTATTTACTTTCTCCACACCAGTCATAATTTTATAGACTTCAATCATATCCCCCCTTAGTCATCTCTCTTCCAAGCTGAAAAGTTCCAGTCTTCTTCTCTCCTCATACAGAAGCTGTTCCATACTCCTAATAAAATATTTTGCAACAGAAACTTAGTGAACAATTATTTTGATGTATGCCAGAAGAGAATCCAGCTCTCACATTCTCAGCTGTGCTGGCACTGCAGGAATAATACGAGTAAAAGATAGTCAAAAACTTGCCCTTGTCTATAAAAGAAGCATATCTAACTGAATACACCCAGCGATCAAACCTGTTGAATAAGAAGGTATTATTTTTGTGCTCTCTTTTCTAACCATAACTGAACACACAACAGGTAGCCTAAAATAATAATAATTTCTAATTTAAGAAAATCAAGGAATTGGGGGATTAAAGAGTGTGGAAAATAAACATGACCTGGGGAGACTTCAGAAAGTGGGGCCAGAGGTGTGTGGTGGCAGCTCTGTCTGCAAGACAGAAAACTTAAGTAGCGGGGGGGGGGGTTGGGAAAGGCAAACAGGGAAGGAAAGGGGCTACGCAAGCAGATGGGTGAGGGAAATGGAAAGAGAGGGACCAGCAGGTGAGGAGATCCTGAGTGCCATGGCCATAAACATCTGCAGCTATATGTGGTGTACACTGGGGTGTGTGCTAGAGTGCTGAAATGTAGAGAGACTGACCAGGCAGTGGAACAGGAGAAGCAGCTGTGTAGTAGAGCCTTCTGAAATACTAGGTACCTCTTGATGCGCTAATTAAGTGCTCAGTCAGGATTATAGAGTTACATTTAATTTATAATAAACATAAATAGCTAGTTAAGCACTTACTACATAAAAGGTACTATAAAATATACAGTAACCAAGATTTCTTCCACCGTCTATCAGCCTCAGCACAACTTTATTTTCTACCCTGACGGCCTTCCCCACCCAACCACATCCACATGCCTGCTAGACCAAAGTAATACTAAAAAAATTGCCAGATTTCTCCTGTTTTTTGGAGGATCACTGACTAGGCCTCATAAACCCTAAAATTTTGGAAGATACTCCTATATTACATCTTCAAATTCATGTAACCCCTTGCCCATGGAATTCTCAAAATTGAAAGAGAAAAATACAACTGTCCCCTTTTTGTGAAATTACACCATAACAGCCATTTGACTAGCAGTCTCCATTAACTATGATGTAATTTCTCTCAGGAGAATCTCATTCTTTCTGATGCCATTCTGTGACTTATTATTCACTTATATATAAAATATACTGTACAATATCTGAGATACAATAGAACATTTGGAGAATAGGCCTATTCTATGAGAAATTTTACAGATAAATTGACTGTTTTGGATAATTCAGCTGCAGTAACCAACAGTGAGAACTTCCCAACTGATCTTAACTACTGCAAAAGTGTACAATATCAGAAGGTTTCAGTTAGTTGGGGAGTCACATCATTCGATGTTTTAAAGATGATCATCTGCGCTCTGAATTGCACCTGGAAATGCAAAAGCAACCAGTGCAGAGCTCTTATCCTACTTAAGAGGCAAAAAATGGTATTCTAACTTTTGTGCCATTCTGTGGTAACTATCAAAATTACAAAAAGTATATTTTTGGATTAAGTTTGGAAAAACTAACTGTTTCACCTCAAACAGAGCCACTGTCTTTGAAAATATCGATCCTCTCTTGTTTGCTAAGTTACTAGGAATCAGTTCTATCTGCAAATCCTTTTTCCTCAAGTTAATACACGAAGGATACTTACCTGTAACCAGAGTTCTTTGAGATGGAGCCTGCATATTCCCAAAATTTAGAATTGTCCCCACAAATTTTGTCACCATATATCAGAAATCCAGGCCTTCATTTAAAAATATAAAAAGCTTAAAGACATTATTTTAGGAATACTATCCTCCTAATGTGGTTTGTTACCCTATTAAGAAATGTTTACCGAAAACTGTCTTCAGAGACACAAAATGTGTTTCTAGATAGCAACAATGAAAAGTTTCTAATTTCTATCCTAATCTAATGATGTTTTGAAAAGATTGAGGGAATATATTAAAATAAATCTCTAATAATTTCTTAATTAATTATTGTCATGGCTTTAGCTTTAGGATTATCTTGGACCAAACAGCTCTTAGATAATTAACACTCATCCCATGTGACTAATATAGTGCACTATACCCATAACGGGAATAAGATTAAATCTCTGTTCAATTCCCTGTAAAGGTACCACTAAATCTTTTTTGTGAACAAAAGGTATGTATTCATAAAACAGAAAATAATTCACACAAAATAAGATCTTTCAAATTGAGACTCATTTTCTATGGGATTTTAAAATTATCAATTAATTGGATATACTCAATAATCTACATGTGGACATGCTACAAAACTGGAAAGAATGTCTGCAGTTAGGTAATTCTACTTTGAGGATTCCACAGAATTTGACTAATAACTATATTATAGTTTTACCTCAAGGTTAGTCAGTGTCATCTCTCTGAAGACATAAGCAGGATTTCCTTCCTCTGAATGGCAGGTAATCTGGAAATTTCCATATGATGAGCTTCCTGTAGGCTCTGGCCAGTACTGATGGCACTTAACCTAAGGTCAAGAGGTTTTCAAAGACGACAGTCTTAAGATTCATAAACCGTTATTCTTCCTCCTTTCTAGATTCAGCAAAGTTCCCTTTTGAGCATTTTGTAATTACTGCTGACTTACTTACCGAACATACTGTAGGGGTTTATAATGGAAAATGAGCTATTAACTGCATAACTGAAATAAAAAATTTCAAACTAGTGTAATTGATATTAGTCCTAAGCAGATGAATACAATTAACTATTTTCAACTGTTTTTTGTTCATATGACATAATCAAAGGATCAAATGTTGACTCTGCAAATGCATGCAACTCCATGAAAGTTCCATATGAATAGTTGAGGGCAAAATATGGTTTAAATTAACATTGTAGGATGTGCAGTTGCCATTCACCTTGAAGGTACCCGACTTTTCCTCTGATCTAGCTGTGTGATTATTATAGAACTACACTGCCTGCAGGCTCTTAACTACTTGAATTTCATACATAAAGTCAGGTAACATCATGTAGAAGTCCTACTTCTCTTCTCAACTTTGTTTCCTTCACACAGGCCCCAACTCTTGAGTTTAGTGTAACTGAATAGTGATGCCTTTAACTTTTGATATTACTTCTTTTTAAATATTCCCTTTTGACACCACAGTGATAGGTCCCTCCTTAGATCCACTCCTAACTTCTAAAATCCTAAAATAATCCTTCCTTATGGCAGATTTACATGAAAAAGAAAACATGTTGCTATAATGTGAAAGGAGGAAGTGGCCAGTAAGCAATAACTAAGATTGCTTCAAGGTGCGTTAGGTGGTGGGTTTACCAAAATCTTTACAGTTAAATGAGAACTTTAAAGAAGACCAACTTTATGACAAACTGCTTAAATGCCCAAATATAAATAGAGGTCATTTCAGTTCATGCATACTTCTTATCTTTCTAAGCCACCTGGCAGGGTCTGTAAAAGCAGCCATATCCTGCTCCCTGAGACACTCTGGCATGCAGTGGGATAGTGACCTCATTAGACCCTTGATCAGCATTAGAGCAGTGTGAAGTCCTTTTATTTCAATATTTAGCAGCTCTCAAAGAATTCTATAAATATCAGTATTAAAAAACCTTAGAGAACTGCTATTGTGGGTCTGTTATTAGATCTGCAACGAAAATTAAAGTAAATTAAAAGGGCACTTGACCTGAAATTCCCTCTAATTGTGTTCATTTGGGAGCACACAGCATCATATAGTAAAACTGAGTCACTGAAAAATAGTTTAAAAACATTAAAAAAAACACACCTACAATTATTTTTATGGTATTTAACAGGTCTGACAGCATAGCAAATACACGCTTATTTTAACAAGAAGAATGCACACACACAGCTGAACTGAAGTCTGAATTAATGTGACTATTCTTAACACAGACCAGATTTGCTGGCCAGGATGATAGACATCTACTGTAAAACCCAACAAATAAAACTCAGAATTATGATGAAATTTCAGGCTATTGCAATCAGTCAGTTATGCTTATGTGTTTCAAGTTCTCCAATTGCTACTGAATGTTACAAACAGTATGCAAGCTGTTTTATGAAATACACCAGGTATGTGCTAATATTTGAATGGTACTTCAGTGGACAGAGGCAACACAATGGGCAAAATTATTAAGGAGACAATATCAACCAGAGTCTCAGGTGTAGCTGAAATTAGGTGATGCCATTATGGCAACATACACATAATTATTTATAATTACTTTCTTATTTATAATTTGTACATATGCAGCTAATAACATGTAACATAACATCTTTTTGTATTAAAAGAAGCATATATAAAAATGGGGTTAAGAACTAACATGACTGACTAGTCAAAAACAAATCTTTTTAAATAAAAGATTGCATGTACAGTAGTCAATTTGCAAACACTAATAATCTTTCATTTGATTAAGCAAATACCCAGAGGCAGTACTCCATTGCGTGGAGGTACAGCTTGAAAGTAATAGAATCATAGAACTGGAAGGGACCTCGAGAGGTCATCTAGTCCAGTCCCCTGTACTCATGGCAGAATAAGTATTATATAGACCATCCTTGACAGGTGTTTGTCTAACCTGCTCTTAAAAATCTCCAATGATGGAGATTCCACAGTCTTCCTAGGCAATTTTTCCAGTGCTTAACCACCTTGACAGCTAGGAAGTTTTTCCTAATGTCCAACCTATACCTCCCTTGCTGCAATTTAAATGCATTACTTCTTGTCCTGTCCTCAGAGGTTAAGAACAATTATTCTTCCTCCTCCTTGTAGCAATCTTTTATGTACTTGAAAACTGTTATGTCCCCTCTCAGTCTTCTCTTTTCCAGACTAAACAAACCCAATTTTTTCAATCTTCCCTCATAGGTCATGTTTTCTAGACCTTTAATCACTCTTCTCTGGACTTTCTCCAATTTGTCCACATCTTTCCTGAAATGTGGTGCCCAGAACTGGACACAATACTCCAGTTGAGGCCTAATCAGCACAGAGTATAGCGGAAGATTTACTTCTCGTGTCTTGCTTACAACACTCCTGCTAATACATCCCAGAATGATGTTTCCTTTTTTTTGCAACAGTGTTACACTGTTGACTCATATTTAGCTTGTGGTCCACTATGAAACCCAGAACCCTTTCTGCAGTACTCCTTCCGAGCCAGTCATTTCCCATTTTGAATGTGTGCAACTGATTGTTCCTTCCTAAATGGAGCTCTTTGCATTTCATCCTATTTACTTCAGATCATTTTTCCAGTTTGTCCAGGTGATTTTGAATTTTATCCTAACCTCCAAAGCACTTGCAATCCTTCACAGCTTGGTATCATCCACAAATTTTATAACTGTACTCTCTATGCCATTACCTAAATCACTGATGAAGATACTGAACAGAACCGGACCCAGAACTGATCCCTGCGGGACCCCACTCGTTACACCCTTCCAGCATGATTGTGAACCACTGATAACCACTCTCTGGGAACGGTTTTCTAACCAGTGATGCACCCATCTTATAATAGCTCCATCTAGGTTGTATTTTCCTAATTTGTTTATGAGAAGGTCATGCAAGACATATCAAAAGCTTTACTATAGTCAAGACATACCATGTCTACTGCTTCCCCCCGCCATCCACAAGGCTTGTTACCTTGTCAAAGAAAGCTATCAGGTAGGTTTCACATGATATGTTCTTGACAAATCCATTCTGACTGTGACTTATCACCTTATTATCTTCTAGATGTTTGCAAATTGATTAATTATTTGCTCCATTATCTTTCCGGGTACAGAAGTTAAGCTGACTAGTCTGTAATTCTTCAGGTTGTTCTTATTTCCCTTTTTATAGATTGCCACTATATTTGCCCTTTTCCAGTCTTCTGGAATCTCTCCCATCTTCCACGACTTTTCAAAGATAAATGGATAATGGTGGATTTAAGGCTGATCCATGGATCTGGAGCCAATTCTCCAAAGAGCTCCATAGTATAATTGGCGATGGTTGTGATGTCGTGACATCGCAAGGCAAATTTATGACATTGCAAAGCAAACAATACAACACTGGTCCAGGCCTCCTTACAGGATTAAATCATCCCTGTCCAGAAACTTTAATCAGATTAAGTCTTTAAAAATTCATTTATGAAACATGAGAATCAAGACTTGTACATGTTTCAATACTACACTAAATGCTAAAACTAGTTGCATAATCCTGAAAGAAAGGGTTTAAAACTGAAACACAGGAGAGCCTTAACTGTATCAATACCTGTGAGCACTGCCATAAAAAAGAAATTCGTAACGGCCCTGTTATACCCTAGTCGTTTATGGCCGATTCAAAAAGGGATTTTTAAAATAATATGTGATTAGATTTCAAGTAGAACTTTGACTTACTCTGCCCCTTTCAACTTGAGTGGTCAACATTACAACCATAGATGAACCTTGTTCCCAAGTCATCTGCCAAAAATCAGGACAAGTGTTTGGTAATGGACCCTGACAAGCAATGTACTGGTTTATTATGCTGGAAGAAGAGATTTCCATCTAAAAGAAAACAAATTAATAATTATTTTAGTTGTTAAACAACATTACTTCTCTTGGCAACTTTAATTTATGCACCACAAATTTAGACTTTGCTAGATAATTTAAATTACATTTATAAAAAATATAGGAAAAATGAATCAATAATATCAATACTCTTAAAATGTTTATCACCAGACCACAGATAAAAGAGCTCACAAAACAAAAGAAACCCATCAAGACTGAGAAAAAATCTTATTTAAAACTGTTAAGAAATCCAAATATATTTCATTGAATTAACTGACAGACTTTAGTTGTCAAATACCTGAGCAGTCACGACCACAGGTCACAATGAAGGCATACGAAAAAACGTGACAGTTCAGTGCCAAAATAATTTTTGTAGACGTATACACATTACATCCACTGCTTACAATATTTGATAATTTAAATACTAATCCTGGAATCAAATATCTTTCCTTTGTATTCCTGAAGTGAAAAGTTAGCTGTACTTTGTTATTACTGGCTACAAGACAAAGACCTACCAGGCTAAATTTTGCTAGTCTTGAACACTGCAACAACAATGTGCATTGGGTTACTTTGTGCCAGTTTTAAATCTAGATGGCTACTTTCTCCCAACAATGACCCCATCTGAAATAAAATTCAGGCTCTTGTTGCTGCACATAAAATCTCTCAATTTGATTGAGAGTTAGTAGAAAATTATCAACCACTGTCTTTTAGATAAAACAAACCTACTAATATGTAAGCCAACTGATGAAAATACTTCCCATCTACTCTAATCTATGTTAGATTTGAGAAACATTTTCAAAAAGAGTGAATTATCTTATTTTTACATTTTCTGCTGAAAAGCTGCAGTAGCAAATTATAAATCAATTGTTCTTCTGCAGAATGCTGCCACAATGTACTTACAGTATGAATGACATGACAAAATTCAACTCACATTTATATAATTTGCATTGATGTAGTCATCATTACTCTTCAAAATGACCCGTGTAGCATCATCTGAAAAAATATTTAAAGAACATGTGTTATTTCTCTACCAAGTACAAATAAATACAGTATTTTAACTTAAAACCATATACATACACATACACACTTACAAGGCGAAATGTCTCTGTATCTATTTTTGGAAATATTTTGAGGTAATTTGGCACAAGACATTGTCATTCCAGGCTTCTTCCTATACAGTTGCTAAAAGAGAATAAAGATGGTCAGATAGTAACAGACACAACATAGGACTTGCTAGCTTTAAATTTACTACAAACATTTTAAAAGCATATAAAACAAACATGAAAACATTTTCTATTCACAAGTACGATGCAATATTAATTTTGTTCTTTTACAAGATCATTCAAGCAGCCGGACTATGTGCTCACTAAATTCGCTCAAAAGGCATAGGCTGAGAAACTGATTCGTAAGCTGTTGTAGCAGGCATGCATCTGGACAATGGCCAATACTACTGGGTACTGTGGGAACAGCACACAGTCCACTGCATCTTAACACAGAGTTTTGGGCTAGCAGATACATACTGTGAGTAGACCTTACTGAATATGCTACTGCTACGCCCCGAGCCTGCCACCATCATCCTCCTGCACTCCTACACAGTGCTGCAATGAATCTTAGTCTCCCAGTAAATGGAGTGTGCGTGTGCAAGCATTCCCTCTGCAGGTGTTCTGCTGCATTCTGGTACATAGGCTCGTATGTGAGGAGGCCGCGAGTTGCTGCCCCTAACTGAACCAGCACACTTCTCAATTCAAAGAAATATAGCGAAGAGCCCCACAGTGCATAGTGTATTACACGGAAAACAATATATACCTCCTGAAGACTCAGGGTAAAATGAAAAACACGTTAATACAAATTCTGTTTGGATGATTAACAACAAGTGTACATCTCATCATAGATTTGGATGGCACATTATAGGGAGAATAAACAGCCCCTGCCCTGATGATCTTACAATTTAAGCTAGGCAATGTGACATAACTGCTTGTTTTGATGAAGTATGCATAATGCTACCTCTATTCTTTTTTCTTAATTTTTCTTTTTATGTATTTATGTTTATTAATGTCTATTTTATTGAGTTTGCATCAAAATACAAATCATTGTAAGAGAAACTTTGGAAGATATGTTCTGTATTTCTCTTTAGTTAATGTATTTCAATCAAAACATAAGCATGGAAACAGAATTTTTATTTTAACAATTCATTTGGCTCCTGCTTTTTAATCCTTACTTGGTTATATTCCTCATTTCCAGTGTCACATCTGAGATATAACTACAACAAAAATTGATAGCAAGATAATCTATTTTTATGACTGCTCACATTATAATGATCATTACTTTAAAATATTAAGGAGTTTTTTCCTCCACATCACTTTAATGCTTCACATATAGTCTATTTAAGAGGCACAAGTTGATAAGCTGTAATATTGTGTAAGGAACTCCTGTTGAGTTATTTTTGAACCATAGTTTATTTACACCTAATATTCTGCCAACACTGAAGTGCATGAACCACATCCATTCATCCATTAGTATAATTATTTTAATATATTTTATTATTTCACTGTACCATGCCCTCATTCACTGTTGAGGTTAGGCAGGTACAATTCCTCCAAAGTCAACGGAGTGACACCCATTTACTCCAGGGGTAAGTTTAGCCTCAGTAGAACAAGAATAGTAGTTCTAATTCTGCCTCTATTTATGACTGAACAAGAAGCAAAAGAGCTGAAAAGTGAGCTTGGATATGATCACAATGGACTCAAAAGCTATTTTATTTAAGTTCCTGCGTGAAATTAAAAAAAAAGATCAAACCATTACTGTATATCAGGCAAAACATAAATATGATTTGAAATGGAAAATTATGTCCTCAAAGCATTAGTTTTAATAGTTCTACATAAGATGAGTGACCTAAGTCAACCACTTTTCAGTAATCTTAGTTTTAATTCAATAGGCTTAATAAGGCATTGCTTTAGTCTTAATTTTCAGTTTAAAGGAACACAAGATTGGTAAGCCAAAAATCTGGTTTACCTTTTTTCCTTTTTAGAACTGTTTGCAAAATGCATGCATTTTTTGTATCATTTAGTACAAAATGAATGCTTATTTTTTAAAAACAAGTATCAGTAATCTATATGATAGCCAAATGAGCAACCCCATGATAACTAATCATTATATAAGCATATGATGAAGAAAAGAGAGTTTGGCAAGGAAACAGATTTCAAGCTTCCAGGGAATTACTATAGATACCAAGTAGTAAAAAATTTCAACAGCTATGAAAAGTGCTCTATATAATTTATTGAGCACAAACCTGTCCTAAAGAGATTCCAATCCAATTTAAACACAGTCCCTAGAACAGGATCAGGTCTATAAAATATATACCATATTGACATTAAAAGGGGTATCTCTATTTGTCTAGTTATTTTAGTAAAGTAATAGATTATCTAGCCCTCCAGCCATATTACCTAATTTTAGAAACTAAGCTGGGGTGTGCTGTGTCTGTATTTTGATAGGATACCACCAAAGAACACCTGGGGGTTGAAGAAGTGGTTGTGTTGATTCAGAAGATGGTATTCTTCTCTGAGAGTCAGCAATGAGCCAATGTACAAGCATAGTATTAACTACTGCACTACTCTCTTCAAAATAAATAATAAAAATCAACTACGTATAAAAAAATTCTATTGCATTTTCCTAAAACTAGGGTTGTATTTCCCAGTACTTTGTCCTAATACTTAAATTTCATCTAAAATCTTCCCTGCAGTTTAAATTGTTTATGGTATTCTTCACTTCCTGTTTTAATTTAGGTTTTCATCCAGAGGTGGGTAAAATGAACACTGGGACTGGGACTTGGGTAAAGCTTCCTAAACCCTTCAGGTATTCTTGGATATGAAAGATGTTATATAAGCATAAGATCATTATAATTACAAAAACTTGGAGTTCCAGTTATAAACAGCTTTACAGTGTATTAAAAACATTTAGATTGTACTAGATAGTTAACGTTTTTTCTATGGTGACTATTTTGCACCTGTAGTGTTTCAACACAGAAGTTATTTGATGTTTGGCTGTTCTTTCTTTACAGCAGATGAGTCAATTGCCTTGCTGACAGATTCTAAACTCAGTCCAATATCATTCACATTTGTTCTGTTGAATCTAATTATTACCCAGAAAGAGATTGGTACATGCATACAATTACAGGTGGTACATTACTTACATCAAACTGAGCCAGAATAGTTCCAGTGATAAGCCCCTCTGCTAGTTGAATCATAGATTCCCGCAGAGCATTATCGTCCTGATGGACACCATCCAGGGGGGATTTCTCAGGGATGTACTGGAAGTCAGGCTCACTCTCCAGCTTCTCTTCCACCACATCGTAGACAGCTACAATAAATAAAGGTAGGAAGGTTGAGGGAGGCTCTAACCTAGTATGTTCTTTGGCTGTAACAGTGAATGCTCATCTTTTAAATAAGAAAAATGGCAATTCAGTATTGCTTCTACAGGAAAATCTGTGGTAGAGTACCATTAAGAGTCAGACTTTAATCCATATCAACAAAAAATTCAGTGTTCAAACTGCTCCACCCTAAAACTACATTGTTATTTAGTTTACTGTCGAGTAAGAAATGGATTTTCACATAATCAATACTGCTAAAACCCTGCTCCCTAACCTGTGTCATATCTTGCCTTCTTTACTGTAACTTTCTCCTCTTTGGCCTCCCCAATTTCCACATCACATCCCTCAAGTCACTGTAGAACCTGTTTATCTTTTTTGTTTTGCGTTTCACTTTGCCGGGAATTAATTAGGCTAAAACTGACAGACCACTGGCTAGAATGACATTCATAGGCCCTACTATAATTCTGTGAACACTCTGTGTAAAAGTACTGCCTGTAAACAAATATGTATTCAAATATACACAGTGAAGTATATATTATAGCTAGCACACAAGCATATGCTCTTTTGAAAAGTTTGCCCATAAAGTAGAACACTGTAAAAATGTGACTGAGGAAATTATGGCTACTTTTTAATTCTGCATTTTAAGGCTTTTTATTTCAACCACAACTATAAACAACACACAAAGGGGTATTAACTTGGTAAATCTGTAAACCAATTTAGCAGAATTTAATTTTATATGACTATGACAGAGGAAGAAAATATACAGAAACAATGAAATGGCTTAAATACATAGAATGGGAAGTAAAACGATTAAATAAAAGAAGCCAGAATCATGTGTCAATTGGTTGAGGTAATCTAGTGGAGTGATTTCAACTATTCCAATTATTTCTCAGTATATTTTTCTGCTACATGGCTCTTTATTGTGATTGGGTAGTGGAGCAGAATTAAACACACAGCAGCTGACTGTTGACAACATTCCAATATAAATGCCATGAACATACTGTATAAGCTTGTTTTTTTAAGCATTTTCTTTTATTAAGCTGCCTCCATTAAAAATGTTACCAATAATTCAAATAATGCTTTGAAGATATATTTTAAGTCCTTGAATACTATCATATCTATGTGACAATTTCCAATGACACCCAAAATTGCATTTGGGGGATGGACTATCCTCTGCACTACAATCAATTTGTGCAGTCATCTGGCCAATTTGTACCTAATGTGATTCAGGAATAAAATTTATGTCGAGCCCTCTTGCTAAGGACACCCAATTATTTTTCATATCCCTATTTTGGGTATTTAAATTTTGTTTTAAACACTTACTATTACAGGTATGAATGCTTGCAGTACAAGGTATTTCTCTGTATTTGTATATGATTGAAATGCTGCCTTCTTGTTGTAATCTTACGTACTTTTTCTAACGGGGAGCACCTTTTTGTAAAGAGTATTAGCATCCTTAACCCAGGACACAACGTGAAGGCTAGAAAGGAGAGGGAAGATTTGTTGTGTTACATATAAATCACTCACCATTGGGTCGTACTAGGAGCACAAGTTCCCCCAAATGCCTCTCACAGCTCTCTCTAATAAACATGACAACTTGATCATGAGTATGTTCCGCTATATCCCTGCCATTTATCAATACAACCTGGTCCCCTTCATTCAAACGAGGGACACAGAGGTCAGCCTGCAACATGAAACAAATTTAGTTTTACAAACACAGAGCACTCTAAAAACAAAGCTTTTGTATTTTGTTACTTTAAAATGGCAACATAAGAAACAGCATAACTGTGGTCAGGAATGTGGATTCTGCCAGACTCATTTATATAGTTGCCACATTGGATCAAATGATATATAAAGCATTACATAACACAGCAGACAATGCCATTCATAGGAATACTTCAATTCACAACCAGGAGTCGTCTGTCATTTCAACATGCCTTTCTGATGCTGTTACTCCCTGCTCCTTGTATGTATGCTGAAGTTGAATGGATAAGCTCTCCAGTGTTTGAATTATATTCTACATTAACACTGGGGATGCAGGACAAGCTCAAAAATCTCAGGAAGGAGGGCAGCAGCATGGCAAAATCTTGACCAATTCAATTTCACAAATCTAAGAGCAGAAAGCTTCTAATATCACATTCAAGGCAACAAAAAGAAGATGGGGGGGGGGGGCGCAAAGGAAATGCACCAAATCCAGTTAATCTGGGCAAAAAGAACAAGCAAGTGAAAATACTATTTATGTTACAATTTAACCATGATTGCAGAGAGGAAAGGGCAGTGCATTCCCCATTTATCACCACCACAGCATTGCTAGATGTTTAATCCATTCATCCAAAATTAACTGCAACAGAAACAAACCAATTTGTTACATAGAAAATAAATTAGGAAAAAATAATTAACTGGGATAAGAACAATTTAATATAAGGATGTCAACATATACATTTTAATGATTTTATTTAGATCAAAGCTACTTTGTTGTTTTAATGTAAGCAAATGTGTCTCTTATTCTATTAATTTCTGACAGGTGCACAACACAGAGCTGGCATCACAAAGGCTGAATACCAGGCCATTATTTCTGGCAATCAACTGCCACAATATTGTGCCTAGTTTGAAGACATTAATGGTGCTCACTGAACACCAGAAACACCACCACAGAATCAGACCTGATGAATGATTCATTATGTCTGGTTTAATCTAAATCTTGACATTACTCACAACTGCATGTGTCAGTAAAAACAAAAGGGATTTGCAATTTTTAACAGAATAAAAGTTTGTCTCAACACAATTTGTGACAAAATCCCATGAATGTTTAAATTAAAAATTTATGCTAAATAACAATGTTTTTAGGGTGAGTGGGGCATTATATATCAAGAGTCAAGAAACAGCTATTATATATTATTGTAACCACTTGCAGTGATGAAACTTTATTGTATTGAGAAAATATTCATTTTTATTATTAAAGCATGCACCACACTAAACTATGAACTTTAACTTGAAAGAAAGAAAGAAAGAAAGAAAGAAAGAAAGAAAGAAAGAAAGAAAGAAAGAAA